GGCGAGCATGTTTGGTGGGACGGGGATTCGAACCCACGAACCCCAGATTGCGAGTCGAGCGTCCTAACCTCATGGCCATGATTCTGGTACTTATTACATTTGAACTTTCAGAGGGCTATGCGGAACACATTTGCTTTACCACATTTACAGTTGGAACAGTCTCTCTTGCAGAAGCATTTGACAGACTTTATAGACCTCAGTAACTGTTATCTAAGATTTGTCCATCTTGGTACAGGTAACTTCTTATTGGAAAGATACGGCCTGCTATGTCTATTTGTTTGTAGTCCAAATTCCACCCTAGTAAACTGACCATTTAGCATGTCGAAGTAGGGCATCTTAAAATATAATGCCATCTATTGCAGTGTTTCCCAAACGCCGGTTCGCTGACCAGTACTTGTCCTTGAATTAATTTATACCGGTCTGCAACGTGTCTTGGCTGTTGAAAGCACTGACACTTATTTACGTTTTTTTTAATATTTGATGACTAAAAGTCGCCTTAGTCCTTTTCTGCGAAAACTTTATTTGGAATTTTACCGGTCCGTGATTGCCAAAAGTTTGAGAACCACTGATCTATTGTATACCATCTGATGATAAAACACTACGTGATTATATTATTGGTGACACGGTGAATACAATTAAAATGTCAGTCTTACCTAAGTAGAGGCAGTTTTTCTATGGTTCGAATATCATGGTAGAGGACATCCATTCTTGCCTCATTAACAGATTGGAGAGGACTAATCTTTCAAACTTCTGGTAGTGAGAGTAGTCTGTGTACAGCAGCTCAAAGAGGGTCGCAGTTTGTCTACATAAATAACTCTGTGACTTCTTCATTGGACAGGCTAATTTCTTGCCTTTATCTTTGAAGGAGGATGTTTTATCACAACTGAAAAAAATGCATTGAACGCTGACAAGACTTAGGATCTTGGCTCTCTTAAACTGAGTCAGCTAGCGTTGATGCTGAAAAAGCAATCCAGTTTCTTCTTGTGTCTTCATACGTTTAGAATTGAAAAAAAAAATACGTCTTAATTTTTATGTATAAATGATAAATGCCATTTATGTTAATGACACTAGGGAAGGTAAAGGGTGTATAAACCGAAAATAAGAAAGATGCAAATGCTTTCAGTGGCGGCTTGCAGTTAACATTGGGGAGGAGGCTAGCGATATTTTAACCCCAGCCCCAAAAATATAGAACAGTGAAAAGGTAGTTACTTTGGACGTCTAGATCTATTCGTGCGAAAGTTCTAATAATCGGTCTTTCAAAGGTTTAAACACGTTGGTAATTACTAGTTTTCGTCATGCCAAACAAGGCCTAACTGTTGTCCGAACTTTAAAAATCCAAAATGACCTCCAAATCAAGATAAATCGACGCACTTTTTAACCAAGTTACTGCAAGTCATTTAATGAAACTCTCTTTTAATTGTTTATATCAATAAAAACATTGAATAATCACATAATCATTACATTTCGATAACTGCGACCTCGTGTTCTCCTCTTTTTGCAAACTTTTCTGAAACAATGTTCCTTGGTTGTTTTTTAACCTAGATTCTAGTGTTCAAAACCCTTGTTAAAACCGATAAGAAGGCTCGGATCCCCTCGGCTGTTTCCGTCGCAAGTATAAAATATTGTATAGATACAAAACAGCTGAGAGGCACAGCTATTCTGAAGAATAAGAATATTTCTGATTGTTTTCCTATCAAAATATGCGATGTTTTGTTCCGGCATGAAGAGCTCTAAAGATTCACTTCAATAGAAATTTCTAATAAAAACCCAACAAAAAACATTTGGGTGATGTCTGAAACGATAATCAAATTACTTAACTCCCAAAACCACTATTGTAACACCAATGGGTCCTCTCTGTGATTCCTAGAACCTGAGGTAGTGACTTTTGAACAAGGGTCTCAGCCATCTTCGATTTTGATGTCCTACATGGATACCAAGCAAAATTCAGGGGGGGGGGGTGAGGTTCCTAGCTAAACATTGGCTATTAAGACACGAGTGAGCTCATAGAAACGTTTGGTGCTTTTATTCAGTCGGTAACAGTAATGATGATAAATCATGTTAATTAATGCATCTGACTATTAACACTGACCAGCAGATAGATAAACGTGTCCGGAATTTAAATAAAATGATTTTTTTTTAATATACGTTTCGCTGCTGATAGAGAATTTATTTAAGTAAGTGATGCTAAACTTCTGAATCTTTGCAGGCTTACATTTTAACTAAACAAAAACTTTTCTGTTGTATACAGTATTATTACTACTCTTCTAGGCATTCACTCTGGAATGGTAGTTGCTGGAGTTGTTGGCCTTAAGATGCCTAGGTACTGTTTATTTGGAGATACTGTAAATACAGCATCTCGCATGGAAAGTACGAGTGAGGTTAGTTTCTTATTAATTCGTTTACAAAATACATCAGAAATTTATATGTAACATGTTCTCAAATCCTAGGCTATTTTTAATAAGCATTCTTAACTTCTGTTACATTTTTAATAACATGTATTTACCGTTCAGATTTTCCTTAGCCTTATAGCTTTAACGTATAAAAACAAGAGGTTTACAGAGCATTTACAGTTAAGATTATCTATAATAGATAAAAACTTAGTCTTTACTTTTCAGTAATGGTAGTTACCAAGAAGATATAATGTTAGAATAAAAGCTGTTACTAAAATGTAGTTTAAAATACATGTCAAGAGAGTTAAAAGTTAGGATAAAATATAACCCTAATATATCTGTACTGTAAATCAATGACAAATATAAAACTTATATAAAATATATCAAATTGAAAACAAAGTTAAGAGCTAGGACTAAATATGATCATAAATACATTTATAAACATTATTTAATTTCTGTAGTGCATTTCTATATTCTGTATTGAGATATTTATACTGTAAAACAGTGATAGATATAAACTTATATTAAGTACATTACTGTTAGAAAACCAGTTGAAGATATTTAAATTGTACAACATTTAAAGATATAACACTTATATTGAATATAATGCATTGGTCCATCGGTTGTGTACTTTAAATGTTAACGTTTTCAGCTGTAATTCCATGCATCTGTAAAGTAAAACTTTCCGCTTATATAAGCTTTTCTCATGTTTGCATTTCACAAGACGTTTTGTGGTATTTTCGTAATCTCTAAACATTGAATCTATGAATAATATGTAAATTATGTAGCACTACGTAAATAAAATACTCTATAATACTGTGGAATGTTTCCAATTTCCGTAACCTCTAAACATTGAATCTATGAATAATATGTAAATTATGTAGCACTACGTAAATAAAATACTCTATAATACTGTGGAATGTTTCCAATTTCCGTAACCTCTAAACATTGAATCTATGAATAATATGTAAATTATGTAGCACTACGTAAATAAAATACTCTATAATACTGTGGAATGTTTCCAATTTCCGTAACCTCTAAGCATTGAATATTTAAATAACATGTTAGCTGTGTACCACTAGCTAAATAAAACCTGATGGTGTCTATGTTATTGTTTTAATCCATAATACTGTAAAATGCTCCCAATTTTCTAGGCATTAAAGATTCATATCAGTGAACTGACGAAGGACTTACTTAATGCAAATGAATGGAATTTATCCGAGCGAGGAACAATATTGATTAAAGTAGGTTTTTGTACTGTTTTACATACTGAAAATTTTATAAATTAATTTTCTAACCTTCAATAAATCTGTATGGCTTAAACTAATAAATAAATATAGTTTATCTTGGAAATATAACTATCATTTCACTAGTCAAATTAAAAACCAATACGATGTTGTATTGCTTTTATGTTTTAAACACTTTGTATTATGTGCTTATAATAAACTACTGTCGCCGTCCCTAGATAAGGGATTGGTTGTCACTCTTATAACACAACCACAGTATAAAGTACGGGGAATATTTTGTGGTGTCGTAAAGACTCGAACTCGGCTCGCCATTTCCGAAATCCAAAGCTCTAACATAGAGTTCATCCCCGCCCAAATACTTTAACAAAGACTGCAGAAGATCCTGAATATATATGTATTAGTAGTGAAGCTACAATGTTTTGCAAAAAATTAATAGAATATTCATTGATTGTTCTTAATTTTTATGCTATTATGAAATTTCCAAACGCTCCCCGGTGGATCAGCGGTAAGGATCAGGGCTTATAATGCTAAAATTCTGGTTTCGATCCCCGCATTGGGCACCAGTAGCCTATTATGAAGCTATGCACTAAAGCAAACAATCCACAAATAAAATCTCTCAAATAAAACATAACAGCAAAGTTCAATTCAAAACAGTAGCTTTTATTTAATTATTATAGATTATATTTTCTGCATGGCTAGCAAGAAAAAAGAAGTAGGGAAGAGTAACCTCCCTCTTCAGCTGTGGCTCCGCAGAACTTGTGTAACATGGTGTTAAAACATCATGCATGTGTAACATTGGTTGATGTTGTTTGTTTTTTTTAATGCAGAATAGGTTTGTCTTTTGTTTTACTAGACCAAAGCTCTCGTTATTTCTTATCCCATACATCTTTTAAAAGTCAATGAATCGTGTATCTGTAAATTGTCGGGGCAATTAAATCATAAATTGTCAGATATTAAATATTTGAAGTATTAATAAGTAATGATATGCTTATTATTGATTATATTCTACTTGAGCATATGCGTTGCTGAATCAAGTGATGCTTAAACTTCGTGTGTTTTTTTTCTGACTGATACCGGTATATATATATATATATTCAATAGGGTAAGGGGGAAATGAAAACATATTGGCTTCATGGAAGAAAACGAAGAAAAAACTTAAGGAGCAGCAAATCTAAGAATCACAAAGAAGAATTACAGGCTACGTCAAACCTAGGTCTGAACACTTCTACAAAAGACTCTTTATGTTCTTCATTTTCAATGGAAACAAAAGACAATTTCTTTTCAAACCAATTCTCTTCTAGCTGTTTTACTCCTAATCATGACGAAGAATCAAACGAGACAATGGTTCACTCGCAGTCTGTGACATCGCTTTGTTCTAACCGTCATATTGGACAGAAATTTACAAATAGTTCACAGGTACCCAGCGTTCTGTCTGTGAGCACCCAAACTAGTCCTCTTCCTTTCTCTCAGTTTCGTCGAGTAAGCTTTTGGCAAAACTGCGGTCTACTTCAAAGTAAAAAAGCTTGGGAAAATGAAATATTTTATCCTCTACTCAATAGTGTTGCAGAAAAAAAAGTAACTGTTGTTGCTCTTGCTCGCCTCGTCAACTCCGGAAATCAAATTTGAATTTGAATTGCTTAACCATAAGTCATCCCACCCAAGATACTTCTTCCCGTGGTCTGACCTTCAAAATAATTAGAAGGAATTGCACACAAGATTTAACAGAAGTTAATGGCAATTGTTGCTGTTTTGGCGTTTCATCAGAGCCAGAATACACAAGGAAATGCCGTTTATGCTCTATTCTGTAAAGAAAAAATTATAATAATTAAAAAAAGTCAACCATATAAAATGTAAAATTGTCTCTAGCTATTTAGAAAGTGGCATATTTCTTTTGGGTTCCAATCAGAAGCAGATTGGCCATAAAATTCAGAGGGAAATTTCCGAAAACTAATAATTATCGTGATTACTCTCAATGAAACCTCATCTCTACTAACCCTAGGGCTACCTTCAATGAGGTGTGAATCGGTCATTAAGTGACTTCCCTGTTTCTGATAAAAATGCCAGTCCGCTCCTGATTGCAAACTCCAGCTTAGAATCACATCAAACATTGTCGCTTTTTAAGTGCTATAATCTTTTTAAGCATATTTTTATATCCCTTAAATACAGGTAAATATTTATGAAATTGTGGTCAAAACAATGATTTCTTTTGTCATCCCTGAGTTCCTAGTGAAGAGCTATTATGCGTCACCCCTAATACCTAACGGAGGAAAATATTACTTACTTTATCAAGTACTTAAAACTACTTTTTATTACTCTAATAGTATGTTGTGGTTTTTTGTTTGAAATTAAAATCATTATTTCTCAGTACATTGATGGTACTACATAAATGGTAATTTTCCAACTTGCATGGCAAACATTATTTTGCAATGATGTTTTGGGTTATAACGCTACTATAGTTAAATATATCGATTGAGTAGCATGCTCAGAATCCTCCACAGCATGTTGTATTTTCAGAATGACCGCTATTTTTACGTGAATTGAAAGTAAAGCTATATCTTAAACGTTTTAACATTACAAGCATTTCTGAACAGAACATTTAACATTACTAAATTAATTCTAAGAAATAAGGCTCAATTATTTGGCCAACTTTGGGAAACAAATTATTTTATTTTATTTTTATGTGCAAAAACTGTAGTTTATTTTGCCTTAGACATTTCTAATTTTAAGTTCCTATGGAAGGTAGGTTTGAGAATATCAAACTTAAAATAATACTATAGTATTTAGCTTTAAAATTGTTTTCCAGTGGATCAGCGGTAAGCTCGATTCCCCGTTGTGGACAGAGCACAGATGGAACATTTTGTGTAGCTTTGCGCTAAGACAAGAAATACAAAACAGGAACATTTATAAATAATATCTCATAACATTCCTTTTTTCTTTTAATTTATTTCATGATTTTTCTGGTAATGGTTGGCTGGTTATAAAGTTCTCGCAAAGCTACACGAGAGCTATCTGCGCTTGCCGTCCCCAATTTAACAGTGAAAGACTAGAGAAAAAGCAGTTAGTTATCACCACACACCGCCAACTCTCAAGCTACTTTTTAAAAAATAGAGACAAAACAATGCTGTTGGGGTGTACGTGCACCATTTTGAAACATTTCTGGCAAATATTAAAATATCAGGGGTAAATGGAAATGAAAAATAAATATTATTTAGGCTTAAATATGACTTTCTCTTGAGGATATTGTTACAAAATCTAGATTAGCTTTTGTAACGAACATAACAACTTAAGTTCTCATATAATTATTTTATTCAGTTTCCTTTTTTTTAATTCCTAATTCAAAAGTATATTAAAATGAACAATTATTGGCTGGTTATAAATGCAAAAAATGATCTGTTACCTGAAATCACCAGTAAATAACCGTTTTATTCTAACTCGCCTTCTGTTTTGCAATTTTTACTAAAATCTGCTTAACTAAAGCTGTCACATAGTATTATTAACCTACCTACTTCCTCGGACCTACATGTAAATCTTAAAGTTTAACCTTTCATTGAAGATTTTAATCTCATTTTAAAAATCTATAATAAATCAATAAGTTTAAGGAATTATTTAATTTTCTAAATATTACAACCCGTCATCATGTATGTGATCATACTAATAAACGTATAAAGTTTACACCTGTCTAAGTGCAGCACAAAATTTGTTTAAAATATTGGCGAAATTTCCGACGTTTTTTTTTACAAATTAGGTCTAAATGAATCAGCTTGTTTCTACTGTGCTGCAAAAATTTTCGTCTGGAAAATTAAACAACTTGGCAGCTCTTCATCTGTGAGTAAGCAAAATCTTACGTCATAAGATATATCCACCTTCATTTCACGAGTTTGAGCAAATTGTTTGTAAATAAATTCTGCTCTGACGTCACGCATGCATCAAAGTTACCCGACTCTCAAGGCAACAGTGAAAAAAATGTTTCATATCACGTTATGCACTCTCGGCCAATCACGGCAAGGACTTTATGCTAGGTGAGAGAATAATACATTTTGTGTGATCTTTTAGATACCTAATACCATATACCTAATTTTCTTACACGAGTCTTAGATTAATTTTTGAAGCATAATAGAGTTAATGCAAAACTTAAACAGAAAATGGAAAATACATTTTTATCGGATAACAGTGGTTTGTTTTTACAAAATGATTAAGACAGTTATATATCGATTTTAATTTTAAACAAAAAAAATATATATAATGTGAATAGGCAGTGATGTCATATTTTTATAAAGCTGATTACTCTGGTTAGCCCCCACCCAGTGACACAGCGGTAAGTCTGCGGCTTTACAACGCTAAAATCCGGGTTTCGATACCCGTGGTGGACAGACCACAAATAGCCCATTGTGTTGCTTTGTGCTTAACTTCAAACAAACAAACAAATACTCTATTTAGATACGAAATATAATTGAATGAAGTAGAAGCAAATGCTGAATTTCAATCCAACATGAAACTTCCAAATATAAAATATGTTTACGTCGCATAACTCCTTAGGAACAAAAGGTTGATTTTCAACCGATTATTCAACTTAAAACATAACTTTATAGATTGCATTGAGTCATACAATTTATACTTTTTAAGCAGCTAAAATTGTTTTAACTGAATTATACTTTACCCTGCAATACGTATTTTTGATACAAGCATTTGAACATTCTATAAATTTCATAAGACTTACTTAATACATCAGTTTCCATTCACACACGAGTTTGAAATGTCACACAGAGCATTCATTTATAATGTCAAACAAAACATCTGTATGCATCACTTTTGTACTATTAGCTTTCGGTGGACAGCTAACTAAAAATATTCCTCACACTCCCTTGATCCTACTGCTTGTGGATACAGTTGTAAATGTATTTTATCAGTGTTGGAAGAATATATATATATATATATATTTTACTATGTGATTCTTTAACTGTGATGTATCATTGTATACTTTAAGAATGTTTCCAAATATATTATTACTTGTGTCTTAAATGTACAGTATTCGAGCTTTTCTGTCTAGGAATAAAACATGAAATAAGTCTGTGTGTTTTGCTACATTAAAAATATTTGGTACTTTCAATCTGAACAGAGTCTTATGGGCTAAACGGACAGTCTACTCAAAATAAGGGTACATTTGCTGATTTCGTATACTCTTACCTCTCTATATATACAATTTTTATAGTAACAAAATGATCGGACCTTTTACTTGATAACAACTTAAGCTTTCTAAATGGTTAAAATTATCAAGCATGTTTTACTATTTTACAAATTATTTTACAATCTTAACCGTAATACAGAATTTAAATTCGAACAATTATAAATATATTTAAACTCGTTTTTAGTTATCTTTAACTTTCGCTTTAATTGCGTTGCTAGCAGTAAAATACAGTGACGTGCACGGGGAGACAGGGGGGTCAAGCCCCTGCCTTGTTTATTTCATACCCCAAAGTGCTCGTTTTCTCAATCATAAAAAAACTGTCCACGATTTGCTTGCTGCTAGTTAGGAAAAACTGAGCTTTAAAATGAAAGGCACATAGAGACTTGTAGGTATTTACAGTAAAAAGTAATTGTGATATGCTATTAATTGTAGGTACTTACAGTAAAAAATAACTGTGATATGCTATTAATTGTTATTGGTAAAATACGTAGTATTAGGAACTAAAAATGCTAGTTTCGTGTGTTTGTTCCTTCTTCTTCTGGAGGAGGTGGGGCTTTCATTCATAAGGGATTTATGTACACCAAGTTTCTATTACTAAGAAAACAAACAATATTATCATACATCTGACCTAAAGAAAAGAAAAATGAGAGAAGGCGAAATAGAGAAGTGTTTGAAACGTAAAATAATAAGAACGTACACGATATCCAACAAGTAAGGAAAACAGGGTAAGAATCCAGTTGAACATATTTAAGGTAAACTGAAGCAGCTGGAGAGTAATATCATAGTCAACTATTTCTAACACAGTACTGCAAACGCAACAGCAAGAAGAGCTTGCTTGTCCAATTTTTTTGCAGAATGTAGTTAAGTCTACAAGTTTCCAATCTCAATCGAAATAAAACAATAGCATGCATTCTAGCCTTCAAAATAGTAAGAGAACAGGAAAAATAAAATATTTCAAGCAGCCAACTGTGGATGCTGCCCAATACTGAGACCAAGAGAGAGAGATAAATGGTAGCTCAATAGAATACTGCAAATAGAAAATTGTAGTAACCAATCAGTGGAGGGAGATTCGGAATACAGAGTTGTTTTAGCTGCTTTGTCAACAATTCCATTACCAGAAATACCAATACGACTAGACATCCAGACACAAATACGTCAGTGGGTAGAACGAACTAGTCAAGGGTGTTTGTTTCGTATATTCGAGAAAACCTACAAATATGCTATTTTTGCCTAATTTGCCCCTAATTTTGAACTGATAGACCAAAAGGAAGGCAACTAGTCAACAGTACCCATCGCTGATTCTTGGGATACTGTAATTGAATACAGATATTTTACTGTTACTCTTATAATACACGCAAGTCCCAAAATGATGGGCGCAAATTAGTAGTAATTTGACGCGAACCTTAGACTCTCTGAGTCACAGTCCAGCACGCCACCCATTATACCTCACCAAGCCCAAGCAACAGTAAGCAAAATGTCAATCCAAAGTGAGTACTATGAGTTTGGATATTCAAAACTGAAATACCATGGGCAGAAACAGTTTTTCCAATAACTGGGCCATAGAGTGATCAGTATACACATTTACATACTTTTTAAACGTGTCAGTCAGTTTAGACCAGACAGTCGGCAAGACAAATTGTATAATAAGGATTTTTAGAAAATGAGAAGCTGATAAAAATGTCTGAAATATGCCAAGGA